TAAATAATGTTATTTATCAGTCTCGCTCTGGTGGTTGGATCACATGCCAGGTACCTGGATCACTTTAAACTTTTACTCTCTAACCACCTCCACTCGGCCTGACACTGTTATTATTCTTATTCTTATTCTTATTCCCATCATATATATATATATATATATATATATATATAAATATAATATTATTATATAATTAGGATTACTTTATAATTATTTTAGTAATTCGAACAAATTTTTAGTTTACTTCTTGATCTTATTCTCCTTTTATTTTGATTTCATTAGATTTTTTTAACTTTTATATTTTATGTATTTTTATTTATAATGTTTCCAATTTTTTTACACTTACCTGATTTGAGTCTTTTTTTATTTATTAAATTTACTTTTATTATTTGATTTTTTCTTGCACATTATCAATCCCTTGTTCTGTATCAACTCGGCAACATTGTAAATGAGAGTCACCCTCAGTGTTCTCCAAGATTAAATAAAGGTTGATTGACTGACTGATTGATGAGATCCACACGTCGTACATCTACCACCAGCACTTCTCAGGTATGGAAACCTTTTATTTACATTTCTTTCTTTAACATGTTGCTGGATTGTTTTGTCAATTTTTTCTACCAGTGTAATCATGATCACCTAAAATTAATATATGTCTTTCACATATGTCTTTCTCCCATGACTTCTCTCCCTCGACTTTAAGTACAATTCACCGTTTTGAATGGTAAAATAGGCCGTTCACACAAATCGAGTGGATTCAATGAGTTTTTTTAGGGGGGGGTATTCAACAGAGCGCAGAGTGCATTTGAAAGATTTCTGCTATCTGTAGCACTTCCTGTTTCTTACCATTTAAAATAAACATATTGCGCCATTCATGAAGCTGAAGTTTTATACATATTTCCATGACACCTCAAATTGTGGAATGAAAACATTGAGATTTAAGGTGATTTAACAGAAAATTGGCAGAATAAGAGAACTATGGCCATCTACTTTGTTTAGAATTGGCCCATTCTGGCCCACTTTTAAGGATGGAGACGATGTTGTGAGATGGTGGGCTTCTGTCTTTGAAACTGGCAAATACTCTAAGGTGGGGGGGTGCCCATAAAGATTGTGCACATGCTTTGTTTCTAGGTAATAAAACTTTTTTGCTTGACTGAACCACTCGTTTCTTTCCTTTCCTGTAGTTTGATCTAATGTGCACCAGAATTTTTCATTTTCGTTTTAAAATCACTAAAATTCTGACTGGTGAGGATGACTTTGAACTCACCTACAGCGGTTTGTGTTTTCTCAACTACCTTTCTCACTCCTCTTGAGTTTTCATTACTAATTAATTTGCTCACATGATGGATCCCCATCTGATACAACCAAAGTTTGAATCATTCATTTTACTAAAGTCCTGTTTCAGTGTCTCTTTTTCCTCTACTTCTATGCCCCTTCTAGGGTGATGTATTGTACACAGCTGTTCTGCTGGAGTTTTTAAACACTGTGTCCACTCACTGTCCACTCTATTAGACACTCCTACCTCGTTGGTCCACCTTGTAGATGCAAAGTCAGAGACGATAGCTCATCTGTTGCTGCACAGTTTGTGTTGGTCATCCTCTAGTCCTTCATCACAGACTAGTTGTTTTCTTAGTACAACAAATGTTCTCATGTTAGCTCAGCTAAATATTACAGTGCAGATGATCTGCTTGTTTGGATCCAAATTTCCATTAAATCACTCTTTCTCATTTTTGCAGTTTGTTTAAACGAATCAGTTGAACATTTACCTCTACGAGTGAAATATTCCTGTTGTGCTGTTTTGAGGTAGACTGGAAGAAGCTGGTGAAAAAAAAGAAAAAATTCATCATCGTCTGTTTGTGTAAAGATCAATATTAACTCCAACACATGAAATTCTTTCTTCTGTTTAATTAAAGTGTTTTGAAACATGTTGTGTAAAAATGACGAGACCTCCTCTGCATCTAACATTAATCTGACTAGCTCCAGTGTTAGCTTTAGCATTACCTAATCTGATGGTGTGGCTTCTGTTTCTAAAACCTGCAGCTTTAATGTTGAGTGACTAAACAATTTCCCTGCTTTGATTAATGTAAATATGGTTTGCAGATTTTTTTTCTGTTTGTTATATTTAGTCAGTAATTTGTGTGTCTGCACTGAATATCATGTTAAGCTGATTTATTTCTAAAAAACTAGTTAATTTACTTGTTACCACATGAAGTCCTTTTTTTTAGGTTGAACTGAGTCATTTTTACAGTGCAAATGTGTCTCATGAGGATTCAACATTGAAGAAATACATCAACAAGATCTCAGAAAAAGGCATCAAGTCTATCTGTAACATAAAATAAAGATAAAGATTAAAAATGATGTCAGTCATACTGATTAAACAGAGCTCAGAATTCTAATCAATGGTGGCAGTCACTCATTTTATTTGCTCAAAACTAGCAGACTCTAGTATTTTTTAGTTAAACAGGGCTTGGCTGACTGATATGATCATTAATTATAAAGCATTATTCTGAGTTCTCAAGTTTAAAATGAAACACAGTTTAACACTTCATTATTTTACTTGAAACAACACTCACAAACTCTTAAATGTATAAAAAATAATAAACGCATTCTAAACGGCACCACACCACAACATCTATCCACATAGAACACCTTAATTATGATGTCACAATGGATGAGTGATGTTAAAAACCTTCTACACTCAGAATTTGGTCATTTCTGATCAGTTCGATGAGAAATAAACAGAGTAGCTCACGTCTAAATTTCATACAGCAGAAGAGGATGGAGAAGCGCACTGCAGGGAGAGGTTCCATACTTTCTTGTTTGTTTATTGATTTGTTTATTTGGAATAGATATTTGTTAGTTTGTCAGTTTCTCTTTATCACCAGAACAGTATGAGCACATTTAAATATTATTCCATGATAACAATATAAATTATAATGCAATTTATCAGCCTAGAATTATCATTACTACAGATATATACAGCGAGGTTCCCCACATGGAAGCTCTGGCAAGGAAGAGGATGAAGCAGCAGTGAACCAGCCCAAGAGAACAACTCGGGGACAGGAAAAAGCCACTGAGCCAGGTCAGTCCACTTGCCCCATACTGTAAAACTAAATGCTATTATTGGGGAAATGTGATCGGATAAAAAGAGCTGACATGCAGTCAGAATTGGAAAAGGAGTAGAAAAGGTTGGTAAAGTGACCAGAACATTAAATATTCAAATGCTCATCCTGTACTCAGATGCTCCACGAGGAAAGAGGAAGAGGAAAGAGGAGGGATGCAGCCAGAGTGTGGCAGAGGGAACACACTGCAATCCTAACAATCCAGCAAAGAAGAGGAAGGGGGCAGAGAACCAGTCCAAAAGAATGTCTCAGGGACAGAGGACAGCCATCGAGCCAGGCCCGTCCAGTGGTCAGACATCTGCACACTGTAAATATTTCATTTCACTTCATTGTAAGAGCTGGAATTATCTAAATGAAGTTCACAGAAAGTAGATTCCACTAAATCCTTCATAGCCAGTAATGTTGTTTGGTAAACCTCTGTAAAATTATCTAAAGATGACTTGGTTTATTTGTAACATTATTTTTTTTCCATAGACACCTTCACCTCCCCCTATGTGACTGGAGAACAACTGGGCCAAGGAAGCTATGGGTCTGTCTTCAAGGGAAGTCGCATTTCTGATGGCCTACAAATGAAGAGACAGTGTAGTGGAAATTCAACATTTGTCTCAAGAAAGCCTCAGAGATGCCTCTAGGGCTGCTGATTGCAAATCTTGGTTTATGTTTCAGGTTATGAAGGGCAGTTAAGAGGAAATCACAAAAAACAACAACAATAAAAGAACACTTCTTCATGTGACCACAGACAACCGGATAAAGAACAGCGACAAATGATTAAGGACAATGGAACAATGGAAATGGAAAAAGCAACGGAAGGAAAAAGTCAACGGAAGGAAAAAAAAGGACAGTTAATTAAACAGCATATAATGTAATATCTCACTACATTGTGTTAAAGTATTATTATATTGTCAGATGTTATATTTATCAGATACCGATTAAAAACTGGATAAAACCTCCACTAACTAAACACACAGAACTAGTGTTGTAAATATACAAGCATTACTTTATAACTACATTGCTTATGGTTTATGCTTCAGTTATGAAGTTTCTTTGAAGGTAACCTTTAAAAAATGTTATTATATAAGTTATAGAAAATTTTAAACTGTTATAAATAGAATATTATCAACTCTATTCAAAACTCACCCACACCCTTCACGAGACTTGTCTTAAATTCTAATCAAACTGCGTTGAAAAGATGAATGAAAATCTGAACTCTTTCTTTATCATTCAGTTAATAGTGAATAACTGGTTTAAACATATATAACACAAATTAAAATGACCTTGAATGTGGTCAGATTACTAAAACAGTCAGTTTCGTTTTATATTACACTATCAAGTTATTACATCTTTCTTTAATTAATAAAACCATGATTTCAGTGAGTTAAAACACCCAGACTAATACAGCAGGTGTTTTGGTGTGTTATGTAATGATGTAACAATTTCTCTATTTATGCTGCATTAAACAGCATATAATGTAATATCTCACTACATTGTGTTAAAGTATTATTATATTGTCAGATGAGGATTTTATTCCATTATCAGCAGTTTATTACATTATGAGTTTGTATAATATTTGTGATATTACATTGTGTGTGTCTGTCTCTGGGTGTGTGTTGGTCACTGCTTTAGACAGATCTCCATTTGATCTGCTGGATGATCTTTACATGATGCTGTGTGATAATATTCAATACACAACATGCATTCAGTTTATAATATAATGCAGTTTATTTCACACAGTAAACTATTAATCTCTGAACCAAAGCAGAGTTTTAAAGATCTAATGATGGAGAAAAATGCAGGATGATAGAGAAATAAAATCTACACTGAAAATGAGTGAAATCTCACTCAAATAACGTTTCTAATGTTGTAATGATATCAGGAGTCACTCTATGACACTTTAAATCAGCATTTTATTTCCACACAGACATGTTAGGATGGAATGGTACAAACACATTATTTAAAATATACATGTAGTGACATATTCTTATGATCATAATTCAGACACTCACTACCTGAATAAATGTTCATTCTAAGCAGCATCAACTTTAACTGTGCTGTTCCACTGTTACTGACGTCTTCACTGGTAAGATCCTCAGAGGATAAACAGACCCATTTAGGAAAAGTGGTAAAACTCTCTCAGTGAAAGTGTGTGTTATAGTGTGTAGGTGTTTGCTAGTTAGAAGATCAGTGAATGTCACTTTCCCCCTGTCCCAGTCCAGCTGCAGTCTGACAATCTGCAGCTTCTCTTTAGGTCTGAATGAGTGATCTGGCTGTCCGGGACAGTGTATCCAGTATTTACTGTAACTGTTACAGAGACACAACACTGAACCCCAGAAAGAGCTTCTTTTCCTTGTTACAGACTCTGTTATCACACCCAGTCTCCAGTAATGACTGTCTCCAACCTGGACGTCCCAGCAGTGTGTCCCTGAGTTAAAACCCTCAGAACTCAGAACACACCACCACTCATCAAATCTCTCTGGATTATCAGGAAGTGATGATCTCTTTTCTCTGTTTTCTACAGCAGTGAGATCATCAGACAGGTGGAGGACTGGATGTGCAGTGTTGCGGTCAAGAGTAACAGGGGCTGAGGAGAGAGAACACAATGAAACATATTTTTCTCACACCACCAGAACGGCAGGGGGCAAACAGGCATTTGACTGACTACTTTTCAAAGCAGTGACCCATCACTTTCTAGTTGAGTTCAAGACGATTACATCAAAAACAAAATCCCTAAACTGCACAGGACAGGCACCTTAGTTTGGCCTGTTTTGATGTGTGAACACCCGTATTAAGGTTCGCACCAGTCAAATGAACAGTGGTCCAACTGAAAATTCCCAGTTCTCAGCCTGCTTTTTAGTGAACCCTACAACCCCACAGCCTGAAGAAAATGCATTTTTATGAAGGACCACACCAAACAAGAGAATTCAACACCAGAGTGCACTTTCCTCAATGCACATCACTGCTGGACCAGCAGTTTTAACGTTTAAAGTTCTTTACAAATGCTCATTGTTGCTGCAGCCCAAGTTGCTGTTAATAACAGCAGTTGAGCAATGAAATATCAGAAAAGAGATGCTTTCAGTTTTGGCACATTGATGGCTTAATTAACAAGCATCAATTTTTCCCTGTTTTCCTGGTGGTAATATTAAGAGTAATGGAGGATTTGCATCTCAACAAAAATTCTGACCAATAAATACACTTACATGTGTAAATTGGTCCATTTTAGCCACTGCAGTTTGAAACATACCAGTATCACAAAAACTCTGGTGCAGACTTTAGAAAGTGAACTGGGCATGAAAACAGTCTGATATTCTTCAGAGATGGAAGCTAGTAGAGTTTGCTATCTGAAAATTAAACCCAGTGAAGCACAGGGTCAAACAAAGCCTGACTCTGCTCGTCAATAGGTTTAAAGAGTTAATAGATGTCACGCCTGCCTCCAGCTCGGCTGGAACTACAGCTACTGCTTCGGACTGCATTTCCCAGAACCCCTCGCTCCCTCACATGAATCAGAACTCAACTGAATGCACCTATCCTTGCTCTGCTTCTCCTGACTACTAATTGTTCACACCTGTTCCTTGTATCTTGTGTTTGTTAGCTCAGTATATAAGCCCGGGCTTTAGTCTAGTATCTTTGCGAAGTATCGTCACCTTTTGCTCTGCTTACTGAGCCGGCTTCTCATATTTGTCAGTGCTCTTTTGTGTATGACCTGTGCTCTGTTTTTGACCTTGATTTTTGCCTTGTCCCTTTGCTCTGTTATGAATCTCTGGTTTTTGAATTTCTCCTTCTGATTTACGACACTGATTTTTGATCACCCCTTTGTGAATAAAACTCGTAATGCTAGCCTCGACTGCATGTGTCTGATTCGATCTGCAACCCTTACAATAGAACTGTGTTATTAGCCTGAAAGGCAGTTAGTCAGAGGCCTGGATGCATTTTGTTACTCAGCCAGTTGCATTTCATTTAATTATTTGTTTCTTATGGAAACAATCATTTTTCCCAAACGAATTTTGGAGGTGTGGTGCCATCTTGACATCTTAACATCTTTACTTTGAGTAAACCAGTTCAGTGCAGCACTAAATCATATTTTCAGTAGTGAATGGTCATTATAGTCCAGTGACAGATCTAATCTCAGTGCAGCATTTTTCTGTAGTGATTCACTCATAGAGCTGAATATCCATTAACATTTTCACACTCACCAGATAAATCATTACACTAAACAATGAAAAAACAAAACACAGGGAACATCTACAAGGTTAAATGCTATTTTCTGTTTAAATTATTATTGTTGTTGTTCTTATTATTGTTATAATAATAATAATAATAGTAATAATAATAATTATAATATCACAAAATGTTCAGTACCTGTTTTACACCCTGAATAAAGAGAACATAATAACATGTTACTAATAGTTTATAAACAGTGTCTCATCAGTGCTCATTAGTGCATTAGTTCTTTACTTTGAGTAAAACAGCTTTAGACATAGATTTCAGAATCAACTTTAATCCTGGACTAAATTTTGATGTTCAGTTCAGTGCAGCACTAAAGAGCATTAGTGACTCATAGAGCTGGATATTCTTTAACACTTTCAGATACACTGACTTTGATACTGACTCCTAAACAATACATTTTTTTTCCATATCAAATAAATTAAAGCACCATAAAATCTTGTGTTTGTTGAAATGGCTCTTCAGGTTCAGGTCTTTTGTTCTACATAGTGATTTCCCAAACTCAGATTAGGAATACTGCATTCTTAATGATGGTTAAGATTCACATTAGTACAGAAGCAGACTGTGTGTGAGAGATCAACCCTAAGAGAAACAGAACTTACTGTACTGGAGAATCTCCTGCATGTTCTCCCACACTCTGAACTTCAGGTTGGAAAGGTGTTTCACTACATTGATCAGAGCTCCTAATGTCTTCTCTGGATCCTTTGGTTTGAGCTGAGCTCTGAAAATAGACGATTGTGTGAAATATATCACTGTAGAAACTTTACAGCCTGTAATTTATTTGACTAAATATCAATATTTTATGACATTTGTTGTCTTGAGTCAATAATTCTGTTGTTTCTGTTAAATAAATATTTCTGTTACTGTTCTCATTGGTTTTATTATAACATACTAATATTTGCCACAAATGAAATATATTGTAGAATAAAAGTGGTAGAGATAAAATGTGTGGTCTGACATTCACTTACTGTTTCTCTGTAGACTTGAAGTTCTGAAAAGAGAACATTTTAAAATTGACAATATTTTGAAACATACAATTCTGAAAGATAATAATCTGTAAAGTCCACACAGATCAAACAAACACCAGCATACACTTACAATCTCACATGGTGGTTTGCTGTGATCATCCTCAACCACAATGAAACAATTATCTCACCTTTTTTATAAAGCAATGCTATCAGTATGGAAAGTCATAGAGTTCCAACACAAAAAGAAAAGAACTGGAGTTACTGAATGTGTGAATGGAAAGCAGGTAAAGAGAAATGATAACAAAAAAAAAAGGAGCTAGAAAGAAACAAAAAAGTGGCATTAACCTGTAAGAACAGAATGTCCTCAGCTTCCATTTCCTTCTCTATGTGTCTGATTGTGTCTGAAAGAGCTGATATTTCTCCATTCATCTCCTCAATCTTCCTCCTCATCATCTGACTCTTCTGCTCCTCCTCCTCCTTCAGTGCAGCTATCCTTGCTGCTTCTTCATCTCTTAGAAACTGGTGAAGCTTCTCAAACTCCTCCTTTATCTGCCTCTCTGTGTGCTGGGCCTGCGTCTGGAATGAGAGACCATTAGGAAACACAAACTCTAACAGATGATCTACAAGCATTTACCACCTACAGGAGAAGTGGACACTCATCAGAAACATGACCTCAGAAACATGTTTCACAATTCAAGATGATGTTTCACCTTAATGTGAGCTGCTGTTTGGTCAAAGTCTTGTTTAGCTTCCTCTAAGACTTTCAGATTCTTTTGTAGAGGCTCCAAAGCAGTCTTGAGTTTAATCTGCAATTAAACAGTAGTTTAACTGAGAGCATTCTCCACACTTCACAATATTTGAAATACAAACCCCATTTCCAGAAGGGTTGGGACATTTCATAAAATGCAATTAAAAAAAATTATCTGGATCAAAGGGGCTGACTCCTCTTTTCAGTGCACTGACTGGAGTGTGTTTACAGTGCAGCCCACCACAGACTCTAAAAGCAAGAGTTGCTGGCTTACAGCTCAGCCAGGGTCAATCACAGAAGAGGTATCCCAAAAGCTAAACACTGTTACAAACAATGGATTGAAGAGCACTTCAACTCCTCCACCCCTTGGTGTATGTGGATAGGCATACAGTCATTTACTGACTTCAAACCACTTAGCACTGTGTCCCCTACCAACTGTGTCTTACTGCTTGATGAGCTCAACCACTTCTTTGTTCACTTCAACAGGGGAAATAAGGTGCTCTTCTCCAAAAAAGATTAACCGCCTGATGATCAGTCACTTACACTTCTCACTGTAGATGTCTGTCACACACATTTTCAATATGTTGCTGTAAGACTGCCACCATTGTACCAGTGCCAAAGCATTTGACCGCTTCAGCCCTGAATGACTACGCCCCATCACACTCACCTCCATCATCTCCAAGTGCTTTGAAAGACTAGTTCTTTCTCATTTGAGTTCCTGTCTGCCTGCAACCTGGACCCACACCAACTTGCCTACTGCCGCAACAAGTCACCACCATTTCTATGGCACTCAACACTGTACTGACCCACCTGAACTGTCAAAACTCATATGTTATTTTGCTGTTCATTAATTCAGTATTTACACAGTGATCCTCTCCAAGCTGATCTTTAAGCTTAGCCAGCTTGGTATCAACACATCTCCCTGCAATTTGATTCTTGGACTTCCTGATGACAGACCTCAGTCTGTTACGTTAGACAAACTGTTCTCCTCTCCCTGAACACTGGTGTGCCACAAGGCTGTGTGCTGAGCCCTCTTCTGTACTCCCTATTCACCCATGACATGTTCTTGTTTATGGCTCTAACTCCATAATCAAGTTTGTGGACAACACCACAGTGATAAGTCTGATCAAAGGTGACGATGAGATGGCCTACAGAGATGAGGTGCGGCACCTGGTAGCATGGTGTGACCACAAAAACCTGGCGCTCAAAACCCAGAAAACCAAGGAGATCACAGTGGACTTTAGGAGGGGTAGGAGACAGACACACTCCCCCATCTACAGCAAAGGAGCTAAGGTAGAGCGTATAGAGGCATCAAATTCCTTGGCATCCACATCTCGGATGATCTCACTTGTTCTCTGAATTCTCTTAAATGTCATAAATTTTGTACATTAAATACTTTCAAGAGACTAAACTTCAGATAGAGTTAGGTTTCATGGTGAATATAAACACCAGGCAAATATTCTAATTGATTAGCTTTTGTTTTCCTTTGCTCTGAATGCACACCCACTGACAAACTTAATCTAACATGTTCAACATGCAAAACAGGAAAAGCTGGTACTCCAGTAGTACTTCATACTTTGGGGTTAAGAAACAAAGGTGGTGGACTAACTTTCCTACCTTAATGTCAGTCACAACTTCATCTACTGGACAGAATTCATGATTTTTGTGTTTCTTTGAAGTCTGACACACCAAACACACAGGCTGCTGATCATCCAGGCAGAAGAGTTTGAGTTTCTCATTGTGCAGAATGCAGAGCACCTCAGACCCTGCTGAAGATCTCTGACTCCTACTCTCTAGAAAAGCCTCACAAAGGTTCCTCAGAGCAAGATTACAAGGAGGATCATCTTTAGAGGATCTTCTTCTACAAACTGGACATTCTCGAGATCCCTTAGTTTCCCAGAACTGCTGCAGACAGGTTTTACACACACTGTGGCTACATGACAGTAGAACAGGATCCCTGAAGATTTCACAGCACACAGGGCAAGAAAGGTCCTCATCTGGTGGAGAGCTTATAGATGCCATTTTCTTCAACAGCTGCTGATCCTTTCTCTAATAATTTCTCTTGTCCAGTTGTTTCTTTCCCTTTATTTAATTTATGAACTGAACACAGCAGCAGTGTTCAGAATCACTTACTGTAGTCCTTCATCTCACTGTTTTCAGATCTCTTCAATACAGTTGTTAAAAAATAAGTCTTTAGATAAAAGATTTTATCAGTGTCTCTCGATCATGGTGAGATAGAAAGAGTGAGGATTAGTAGAGTGAAAGTCACAGTGGGAAGGTCCGTTTCCTCCAGCAGGTAGACTGCATAGCAGAGGAGCTTTGAAAGGGAGGAGCTGAACAGGTGCGTAATTATCATTTTTGTCTACCGACTGTTTTTGTAACTCAATTTTGGGTGTTGCCTGGGCATGTAAAGATTCAGGGCTCAGCCCAGCTCATTTTAGAATTGTTTATCCTCCCCAGGTTATTTTTCATGAACTTGTAAAATATGCAGTGTTTAATTTTGTATTTAATATGCAGATCTACACAATGAACATGCAGGAATTGCAATTTATAATTGCAGTAAATAAAATCAAGATAAAGTAAAACATAAGAAAAGAGGAGTGAATATGAATAAAATGTCAAAAACATATTTTTCTAATAATGCCAGTCTTAAAACCCTCTCCACATTTCCTCTCTCTCCACTTCAGCCATCTCTCTCAAATGTTCTTCCACAGAGAAACATTTTATTTATAGCTATTTTTTAATGTACTGATACTTTAACCCTTTCAAGTCCCAGACTAATTACATGCTAAGGCTACAATGAAAAATTAGTTTTTCTTAGATTGTAGAAGTGTGAAGTAAACCTTTGGACCCATTGCTGGCTATCTAAAGTGTTTTAAATGCTATATGACCATTTGGTAAAGATGTTCTTAAAATCAATCTACAAACAATATATAAAATATGACAGATTAAATGTTTCTTAACAAACATTCTAAAGGTCTGTCTCTCGATCTCTCGATGGAACATGCACATATAAAATATGTAACACTCTTACCGGCCTTGAGAGAACAGTCTATCGAAACCTACTTAATTTGGTTAATTTCTTACCTTTTAATAATGATCATCACCTACCAAAGTAACACAATTCTGACTCTAAAGTTGCCTGCCCTAGACATGACAATGAGACTATGTATGACCCTGTCAATCTGACTATGTCAGTTACCTGGACCTGCCTGTCCTCCTCTTGCCTTAGGACAGTCTTTAGTGCCAGTGACCCACAGCAGAGTGACATGATACTTGCAGACAATCACACACAACATTCTGATCTTGTCATCCATTTCAAAGCTAGGGTCAGCCATGCCATGAGACCTGTTAACAGACTTCTTTACACTATGTCAAGGTAGGATGTTGCTAACAGAATGTTCAGAGAGTGTGTAGATCAGTTTTTAAGGCTCTTAGTGGTTTTTTTTTATGGACATACTTATTTTTAAGTATAGTATATATTAGGGGTGGGGGAAAAAATAGATTCTTAGATGCATCGCGATGCGGACATGAACAGGAAAGTGCAGCGCCCAGACAGTCGGTGACGTGCACATAACAAAAACACTACTACATGAGCGAGAAATCCGGCAACCACTGCATTAAAAGCTAGGTTAGGTCAGGAGTCACAACCCAAATGTTAAGACGAGCCATTTTGTCCTTTCAAAAAAATCAAACCACCTTGGGAGCCACAACATTTTATGTCCAATATGTCTCAGTATGTGTTAATGTCCTAGTATAGGGTAAAAAATATAAACGAAAACATAGACTTACTTCGCTCTGCTTTAAGCTTTAGCTCTAGCCGCTTTCCTCCCATCTCCAACAGGACAGGACACTTTTCCTCAAAAGTTGGATAGTTTCTTGCAAAATGTCTCTCAACGGTCGACTGTTTTATGAGGCTGAAGTCACTTCTCATTTGCCAGCTTCTTGTTCAAATTTTCCTGTTCCACCTTAAATTCTGCCTGAGGTGCCGAATATGAATGCGGCACCATTTAAGGTGGAATGGGAAAATTCGAAAAGAAGCAATTTTATCTTAGCAACTTTTTAGTGTTTGACAGTCTCTCGTTGCAGATTTAACGTACCAGGAAACCAACTGCGCTGCTTATGAATGCGAATAAGTCCATTCATCTCCAAATGTTTGCCTTAAATCTCTCTCTTTGCCTTTTTGTTAGCTATATAGCATACAAGTTCAGTGTGCTAGATTAGACTGGATTCCCTGCTGTCACAAGTACAACTGCAAATGCTTCCATTTTCTGTGGATTTTGTCCCTTTGCCCTTTCCTTACCCCTAGTGGTACTTTGTACATTGCTGGAGGAAAGCCACATAACAAAGCTCTGTGAATAATCTCATATATTAAGGAGATATATGTACTTCTGAGATGAATCAGTGCAAGCATGATCTGTAATATCAGTCATTACACTTAATCAGTGTATTTGACAAGTATTAGCTCATCTTAAATTAAATGTATTACTTCTAATTCCCAATGGACCTAAGTTGCACTGTGCTGTGGAATAAGCTAGAGCTGTTTTCCTTTCTTTTCTCACTTTTGTGGAGCTTATGTGCAATTCAAGAAAACAAAATGTGAAAAAGAATTGTGTATGTTTGTATGCAGGAATGGTGTATTATTGTCTCAAAATAAGTTAAATAGGAATTAATTATTTGTTCAGCTTTGGGGAAAAAATCCCCTCCCTCTCTGCTAGCTACAGTTCCATCCACTATACGCTTACATAACTAATTGTACTTGTCAGGCTGTATATTGTTTTACTTTACTACATTTTACATTTTTCTTCTTAGTATTAAAAAAAATGTGTTTACTGTGTAGTTCATGTGCAAATATGTACGAATAGTCATCCAAGTGGCTCTTTGTAAATTGCTGGACAGCTTATGTGCAGTTGCAGAAAACATAATCCGAAAAAGCGTATGTTTGCATGCAGGCACAATAACGGACACAAGCAGAGAGGCGAACTATTCTAAGTTAGTCATTTTCAATGTGTCTGCCCCTTCACCACAAGCACTCTGATATAGCCCTGTCACATGTGGGTCACTGCTTTAGACAGATCTCCTCAATATTGTTTCACCTTGATCCCACCTTACAGATAAACATACATCATTAGAGATTTTATTCAGTCAGTTCATCAAAGAACTACCTAACTCTCTCTCTCTCTCTCCCTCTCTCTCTCTCTCTCTCTCTCTCTCTCTCTCTCTCTCTCTCTTTCTGCATTTGTCTTTAACTGTGTGAGAGGCTATTTAGCATTTACATTACAGGTGTGTAATTTTACTGTTTGATGGTTGTGAATGTGTTTACGGGCTATAGAGGTTCACACATATTAATGTTAGCTAATGTTCAGGGAGCTGATGGGCAGCAGGACTTTAAGGTCATTAATAATTACATGATGAATAGAGTAATGCACTTTTAATGTAGGCTTAATTAAACAGTGGAAAAACTCTGCACAGGCTTTCAGGAATCTTAGGCTACTTAAAAAAAAACAAAAAAAAAAACAAACTAGAAGTCATCTAACCATGAAATACATAGAAGTTTAACATCAATCGTTACTTTGTTATATGGTTCACAGAAAGATGAGTAAATGTGCACTAGCAGAGCACACAGTCACAGCACTCAAAATATTTTTTCATGTAATATCATGTTTGGCTTTAGTTTGTCCATATGTTATTTCTGTTGATTTAGCCAGGTCAACTCAGGTAATAATTTCAGGTGGTGAGATTGGTTTTCCAATCGACTTTATTTAGACCCATTTGAGTAAATTTCTTTATTGGTCAATTTCTCTGTACGCAAATTGTCTTTACAGTAACAGAACTTTTACTTAAGTGAGGATTTTCAGTAATCTTTCCACACTAAAATGTACATGTATTGACCATAATTCAGACACTCACTACCTGTATAAATGTTCATTCTAAGCAGCATCAACTTTAACTGTGCTGTTCCACTGTTACTGACGTCTTCACTGGTAAGATCCTCAGAGGATCAACAGACCGATTACAGAAAAACGGTAAAACTCTCTCAGTGAAAGTGTGTGTTATAGTGTGCAGGTGTGTGTTTGTTAGAAGATCAGTGAAGGTCACTTTCCCCCTGTCCCAGTCCAGCTGCACTCTGACCCTCTGCAGCTTCTCTTTAGGACTGAGGAAGTGACCTGACTGTCCTGGACAGAGTATCCAGTATTCATCATTGGTTTTACTGTACTGCAGACTCCACACTGAATCCCAGAAAGATTCTCCTTTTCTAGTTACTGACTCTGGTATGACACCCAGTGACCAGTGATCACTGTCTCCAACCTGGACGTCCCAGCAGTGTGTCAGAGAGTTAAAACCCTCAGAACCCAGAACACACACATACTTATCAAATCTCTCTGGATTATCAGGAAGTGATGATCTCTGGTATGTGTTTTCTACAGCAGTGAGATCATCAGACAGGTGGAGGTGTGGATGTGCAGTGTTGGGGTCCAGAGTAACAGGGGCTGAGGAGAGAGAACACAATGAAACATCATGTTTTTCTCTCATTTCTGCAAATGTTTTACCTCTACAGACTATTTTCTTTACTGTGAGTAAAACAGCTTTAGAGGTCGATTCCAGAATACAGATCAACTTTAATCCTGGACTAAATGTTGATGTTCAGTTCAGTGCAGCACTAAAGAGCATTAGTGACTCATAGAGCTGGATATTCTTTAACACTTTCAGATACACTGATTTGATACTGACTCCTAAACAATACCTTTTTCCATATCAAATAAGTTAAAGCACCATAAAATCTTGTATTTGTTGAAATGGCTCTTCAGCTTCAGGTCTTTTGTTCTACACAGTGATTTCCCAAATTAGGAATGCTGCATTCTTAATGATGGTTTAAATTCTCATCAATGCAGAAGCAGACTGTGTGTGAGAGATCAACCCTAAGAGAAACAGAACTTACTGTACTGGAGAATCTCCTGCATGTTCTCCCACACTCTGAACTTCAGGTTGGAAAGGTGTTTCACTACATTGATCAGAGCTCCTGATGTCTTCTCTGGATCCTTTGTTGTTAGCTGAGCTCTGTAAAATAGAAGATTGTGAGAAATATTGTATAAAGTTTACAGTCTACAATTAATTTGCCTAAACTACATTTATTACCTTGAGTCATTAATTCTGTTCTTTGCATCAAATAAATATTTCTGCTACAGGTTTCATTACTACATTTAAAAAAAAATGTGTTATTTTAATTTATTATAATGCATTAATATTTGCAATTATGAAAATACATTCACTCATCTATTTATTAGGAACACCTACTTGTTTCTACACTTCTTGTCCATTTTATCAGCTCCACTTACTACATAGGTGCACTTTGTGATTCTACAATTACAGACTGTAGTCCATCTGTTTCTCTGCTTAATTTATTATCCAAACTTTATCCTGATCATCAAAGGACCCCCCAGAGAACCCCCACAGAGCAGGTACTATTTGGGTGGTGGATCATTATCAGCACTACAGTGACACTGACGTGGTGGTGGTGTGCTGCACTGGTAGAAGTTGATCAGACACAGCAGTGCTGCTGGAGTTTTTAAACACTGTGTCCACTCACTGTCCACTCTATTAGACACTCCTACCTTGTTGGTCCACCTTGTAGATGTAAAGTTAGAAATGATAGCTCATCTGCTGCTGCACAGTTTGTGATTGTACTAGTCACTGCTAAACTGAGAATTGTCCACCATGAAAAATATCCAGCAAACAGCATCCTGTGACCACTGTTGAAGGACTAGAGGATGACCAACACAAACTGTTCAGTAGCAGATGAGCTATTATCTCTAACTTTACAAGGTGGAGAAACAATCTTCAAGGTGGACAAACAAGGTAGAGAGTGTCCAACAAAGTGAACAAATTAGGCAGAGAAACAGATGGACTGTAGTCTGTCATTGTAGAATTACCCCTATATGGGCAGTGGAGCTGATAAAATTGACAACGGGTGTAGATACAAGGAGGTGTTCCAAATAAAAGGGCACAGTGAGTGTATATTGTAAAATAAAATGTAATGGTTATATTAACATTAGATAAAATGTGTGTTTTGATATTTACTTACAGTTTCTCTGTAGGCTTGAAGTTCTGAGAGGAAAACAAAGACAACATTTTTAAACAT